CAGAGCATTCTCTTCTCCAGGCTGAACAACCCCGACTCTCTCAGCCTGTCTTCATAGGAGAGGTGCTCCAGCCCTCGGATCATCTTCGTGGCCCTCCTCCGGATCCACTCCAGCAGCTCCATGTCCTTCTTGTGTTGGGGACCCCAGAGCTGAATGCAGCATTGCAGGTTGGGGTCTCACGAGAGCAGAGCAGAGGGGCAGAATCACCTCCCTTGACCTGCTGCCCACGCTGCTTTGGATGCAGCCCAGGATGTGGTTGGCTTTATGGGCTGCCAGCACACATTGCCAGCTCATGGTGAGCTTCTCATCACCCAACACCTCCAAGTCCTTCTCCTCAGGGCTGCTCTCAATCCATTCTCCATCCAGCCTGTACTTGTGCATGGGATTGCCCCAACCCACATGCAGGACCTTGCGTTTGGCCTTGTTGAACTTCATGAGGTTCTCACAGGCCCCCCCCTCCAGCCTGTCAAAGTCCCTCTGGATGGCATCCCTTCCCTCCAGTGTGTCCACAACACCACACAGCTTGGTGTCATCTGCAAACACTCGATCCCACTGTCCAGGTCACCAACAAAGATGTTAAATAGCACTGGCCCCAGTACTGACTCCTGAGGAACACCACTCGTCACTGGCCTTCACTTAGATATTGAACTGTTGACCACAACTCTTTGAGTGCGACCATCCAACCCACTCCTTATCCACCAAATGGTCCATCTATGAAACCCGTGTATCTCCAATTTAGAGACAAGGACAGTGTCTAATGCTTGCACAAGTCTGGGTAGATGACGTCAGTCGCTCTTCCCTTATCCATCAAAGCTGTAATCGCATCATAGAAGGCCACGAAATTAGTCAAGCAGGATTTGCCCTTAGTGAAGCCATGTTGGCTGTCACCAATCACCTCCTTATTTTCTATGTGCCTTAGCATAGTCGCCAGGAGGATCTGCTCCATGATCTTGCTGGGCACAGGTAAGACTGACTGGCCTATAGTTCTCTGGGTCTTCTTTTTTTCCCTTTTTAAAGATGGGGGCTATGTTTCCCTTTTTCCAGTCAGTGGGAACTTCACTGGACTGCCATGTCTTCTGAAATATGATGGATAATGGCTTAGCAACTTCATCCACCAATTCCCTCAGGACCCGCGGATGCACCTCATCAGGTCCCATGGACTTGTCCACCTTCAGGTTCTTTAGATGGTCTCAAACCTGATCTTCTCGTACAGTGTGCGGTTCTTCATTCTCCCAGTCCTTGCCTTTGCCTTCTGTGACTTGGGCTGTGCAGCTGGAGCTCTTGTCAGTGAAGACTGAGGCAAAGAAGTCATTAAGAACCTCAGCCTTCTACATATCCCGGGTAGCCAGGTCCCCTGTTTCCACTGGCATACCTATAGAAGCCTTTCTTGTTGCTCTTGATGTCCCTGGTCAGATTTAATTGTTGATGAGAACAAGATTCAGCATAGCACCTCTCCTCTTTGGTTCCTCTATCACTTGGAGGAGGAAGTTATCATTAATGCATTCCAGGAACCTCCTGGATTTCCTATGCCCTGCTGTGTTGTCCCTCCAACAGATATTGAAGTGGTTGAAGTCCCATATGAGCATCAGGGCTTGCGAAACGTGAGGCAGCTCCTATCTGTCTATAGAGGGCCTCATCCATTTGGTTTTCCTGGTCAGGTGGCCTGTTGCAACCCCTCACTACTATGTCCCCTGTCCCTGCCCTCCCTTTAATCCTGACCCATAAGCTTTCCGTCAGCTCCTCATCCATCCCCAGGTGGAGCTCCATGCACTCCAGATGGTCATTGGCATAGAGAGTGACACCTCCTGCTCGTCTCCCCTGCCCATCCTTCCTAAAGAGCCTGTATCCTTCCATTGCAACACTCCAGTCATAGGATTCATCCCACCACATCTCCTTGATGCCAATAAGATCACAGCCCTGCAGGTGTGCACTCATCTCTAACTCCTCTTGTTTATTTCCCATGCTACGTGTGTTCGCATAGAGGCATTCAAGTTGGGTCGCCGATGAAGCTGACCTACTGGCTGGAGTGTCTGGAATTTCTTTCTGCTGCTCTTCAAGTGCTCTCAGCTTGTCACAGGCAAATCTGATATTATTCCCCTCCCACTTCAAGTCTAGTTTAAAGCCTGTCAATAAGCCCTGCTAGCTCATGAGCAAAGACCCTCTTGACCCTTTAAGAAAGGTGAATACCATCTGACACCAGCAAGCCTGGTGCCATGGACACCATCCCATTATTGAAAAACCCAAAATTGTGGTGGTGACACCAGCCACGGAGCCACGTATTAATAGCCTGGGCATGTCTGTTTCTTCCAGTGTCACTGCCTGCAACTGGAAGGAAAGAGGAAAAAATAGGTCCCTTCTGAGACAACGAAGCTGAGTACAGCAAGGAAAGGTCAGACTAGAGAGGGCTGACCAAATTTCCATGTATGACTCAGAACATGGGTAGTTCTCCTAATCTATTCCATCTCAAGGCAGGTCACTGCCTTGGTATGGGCCAAAATTGTGCAAGGGAGCATGCAAACCATTCACACATCTGGACAGCCACAGGACAGTGCACCGCCCAAGCCCCGATCTCCTAATTTCCCTGGGATACACAGATGGAGTGCAGGTGTGGGAGGAAAGGGCTTGTTTTCCCACACTGATATTTGTCTTTTGTCATATAGGGAGCAGGAAACAGAGCTACTGTACCTTTCTTATCTGCTCTGATGGCATGAAGAGCCACGGGCCAGGACAGGAGGACCATGACAGTTATTGCCCCTATGTGGAGATAGGGAGCTGTGATCTGGCAAGGAGAGAAAAGAATTTTAATCAAAGGACGAAGTGTGGAATCAGATGGAAACAAACCCCAAGATGGCTACAGTTTTCCACCTGGATGGGTTCCTGCTGCAGATACCAGCAGTTCAACCTCTCTCCAGCACCTGTGTTGGATCCACCAAACACCTCTGGAGTTGGAGGAGAGATATGTCCCCCCAGCCAGGCCAGCTACCCCGAAGTGCTCCTCACTGCACTACACAGCTCTCCTTTCTCCTGAGTCAGCTGAAGCGGACATGGTCGTCCTTGTCCACGAGGACATTGCCATTACTGCAATGCCATAAACCGTGAGCATCTTCCAGGGAGCAGCCAGTTTAATCCAATCTAACCCAATCCCACCCAGGTAATAGTCATCTCCGTATCACGCTGCAGCTAAATCATTAAACTGATGTCAACAAGCCTGAGTGATAAGAAGTGGTGTTTACACCTGCACGGAACTGACTGTTGGGTATAAGAGAAGTAGTTAATGTGGTACATATCTGATCATGGACTTTATTAGACTCATAGAGACCCTGCAGCACCTCGTTTCACATATTATCAATATATTCCAGAAAAAGAATTCATTTTCTTTTATTTCAAAGCATTTAATTCACTTTCACTAAGGCTAATTGCATTTTTTCTCTTTTTTTTTTTGCTTCTAACTCAATGTGTAGATATTTTTCTTGATTTACTAACAAAACCCAATAGATTCATTTAATGCTTATGATATATTAGACAGTATCTCTTGCTGGACAGATATAGTAATTGGACTTGATTTCTTTCATCCTAAAGATTAAACAAGGTCAGAAGCCAAGAATCACTCCTGTGCTTATCATGAATGAATGAGCAGAGCCCGAAGCCAAGCAGAAATAGTTTGTTGCTTGTACAGACACTGAATGGATGTTAGTATGACACAGTTTTCATAAAACGAGGCAACTCTGTCAAAGTCCATCATTTTCTCGTGCTTGTCAGACCCCCCTGGTTCCTGTTCCAGCTAGTACTGAGTTATTATGGTATGTGCCAGGAAAAAAAGCCATCCAGATGCAAGCCTTTCCTATTGCTTAGTCCATGCCTGATTCTCTAAGCTGGAGGGATTGAAGAAAGCAGCTGCCAATGAAAGATGTTACTGCCTGTGATACTGTCTGCCCCGGACACTTGATACCAACATCTTTTGATCAGAAGCAGGAGTCAGTTGCACGAACAGAGGTGCCATCTGAGATGTCCAGGATATTTGAGATAACTTTGCAGGGCCAATGGACATGATGTAGGATGTACAAAAGATTCGTGTCCTTTGGGAACAACAGCAGGAGGCCATATGAAGCAGCTCAAAGGGCATGAACACCCGAAATCATAGAATCGTAGAATGGTTAGAGTTGGAAGAGACCTCAAAGACCATCTAGTTCCAACCCCCCTGCCATGGGCAGGGAAACCCTCCACTACACCAGGTTGTCCAAAGCCTCATCGAACCTGGCCTTGAATAAACAGCACTAGTGGGGAACCCAAAGGCTCTTGTGTCTCATCTCCTCATCCTCTTCCACTGGAGCCTGTAAGGAGGAGAAGAAGCTAATGGTTTCTCATTACCTTTGCCAGCTCATAGCCCAAGGGTTATCAAGCTCTGTGGAGCA